AAATAAAATATATGTAACAGATCTAAACTGAAAACTCTCAATGGACAGACTTAAAAATGACTGAAAGACATTTTGAAAAATCCTTAAGCATGACATCTTTAATCATTGGAGAATTGTGAATCAAAATAACTTTTGAGACTATCTTATTTTAAATGACATGACCAAGATCAACCATTGTTTATAATTTATATTTAAGAGAAACCTTTCCACGATTGGTGGAAATGTAAATTGGCACAGTCTGGAATTTTAGAAAATTAGGCAACATACCATCTCAAAATTTAGCTATGTCTCTTTAGGTCCTAAATAGATTGTTTTGAATCTGGTATAGTTGAGCTATTGTTCCAAAAATTTGAGAAAACCAGTTCTCCCGCTCCTAGCCTGGAGCCCTCTAAAAATGTGTAAGCAACCTTTCCTTAGAAAGGAAAACATTAGATTTAAAACCAGACAACTGTTTTTTACAACAACCTCTTTAACTCTGATTTACCCGGGGTATTCCCCATTTTTTAATTATCTCTTATTTAATGGCCATACAACAGGATGACCCAGTCCACGATCCTCATCTTTTCGATCTCGTCTACGAGTCTCGGCGGAGGGTGTCCAGGTTGAACAAAATCCATAGAGCATGAAGTTGAGGAGAAACAGCAGCTTGCTTATTGCTCTGCTGGGGCTAGCTTTTTACCATGGCACCAAATGGAGAGCCATGGAGGGACTCTCACCTGACCCCAGCAGGGATCAAGGACTGATCACGTGTATACAACCTTTATCTGCCCCAGTAGGGATCAAGGAATAATCACCTGCACTCAAACTTCCTCATCCAACTCCAGGAGCAGAGGGAAGTTATGATTCTTTGTAGATAAGCTCCTCAAATGTACATCTTTGTCCTGGAATAACTCTGTAGACCAGGCTGTCCGTGAACTCAAAGAGTCCCACTGTCTCTGCTTCCCCAATGCTGGGATTAAAGGCGTGTGCTACAACACCTTGAAGTCACAGAGGTCAACTACCTCTGCCCCTTAAAAGTCTTAGAGTTCAATTTACCTCTGCCTTTGAAGTGTTGGAATTAAAGGTGTGTACCATCACATCCAATTACTCTCTTTAACTTTTAGCCCGCATATATTTTTAACCCAGTTAGAGGTTTTTTTCCTCTTAGAATCTTTTTTTATCGTATATTTTTTTCTTTTTCTGACTACATAAGCCTTTAATTTATTAAGCAATATGGAGACCCGTGGCTTTGACGGCTAGATCCAACCCATTTCTTAGCCTTTTATCGAGATGGAAAATCCTTGAGCTAGCAGCCTTAACGTTGTTTGCCGTTGCCCCAGGCTATTGGTTCGTCTTTGTTATCTAGGATATGGGCAACCTGTTGAAGCAGCTCTCCAGCTATGGCACGCTTTTTGAGTTAACCCAAAGGTAGCAATTGTCTGCCAAAAAACTGTAGGCTCGTGGCCTCTGTCAGCTTAAAGGCATTTGTGTCTGGCCCAGCCTTAGTCATGGGCATGTGCAGCCTTTGTTCTGTTGGTGCTGTTCTGAGCCTTACATAACATTATATACAGCCTCCGATGTAAACCTGCCCTTAGCCCATCCATTTGTGGCAGGCACCTTTTGCCATCGCGGCGTTTAGCGCCTTGGCCGCCAGTTTCCTGGGATTCCTAGAGTTGTCAGCTGCGGTTGCGCAGCCTGCCGGAGTCCTGTGTATGGACCCTGTATGGTCTGTCGGCCTCCACGCAGGTGGATCATATTTCGCCTAGCATGTAGCTCATTAGCTGTGGGTAATACCCAGCTCCATCTACGGCTTGGGGCTCAAGGCTGCTACGCTTTCTTGTTTTGTCAAAACTCTCTCTTTTGCTCTTTTGCCTTTAGTTACTCAGAAACTTAATAGAATTGTTAGACACATCTTTGAATATTTTCTCAGCTCGAGGCCCGCAGTTACATGGCCATCGGCTATTGCTAGCGTGCTTGTTTACGCTGGGTCCTGCAACTTTGGGAACGAATTCCAGCCGGGAGCTAGCTGAGCCCAGCCTGTACTCTATGGCAAAAATTAAAGTTCCCTGCATGTAAGAGTCAGGGACTGAGTTTTGAAATAGTCTAAACAGTCTCTTGTGCAGTGTCATTTAATCCTGGTACCTAGTCTCATTACGAAATTTTAGCAGCTGATTTGCCCATTGGCCTTCAGCTCTGGATCAGACCTTTTGGCACCCATACTTCTAAAAATCAAACTCATTCAATACCCCCTTATCATATGTGCACCATTGCACATCACAACATTGGCCAGATTCCGGATCGTGGAGGGACCCCTACCTCTTTGGGATTCTCGTGGTGGATTCACAGACGGCAGAACGTGGTTCTTCAGTCCTTATTCAATGCCGACCGAGGGACGCCATCTGTAAGCTTCCGCACTTTTCTGTGGACACCCGAACCTCGAAACAGGCGCGCGCTTTCCTGATTTGAGCCCACGAGAACGGACACATGTCCTAGGGGTTTGAACAGACGACACACATACAAAGAGACCGGCTCATCTGCCAAAGAGCAAGTGGCAAATGGCAGCTTTATTAAGCATAAGTTGGGTATATATACTGTGGGGCAAAAGGACACCAGCCCCCCATCAGGAACAAGGAAAGAGAAAAGTCAGGGGGCTGCACCCAAGGTCGCAGAGCAGCTGAACAGAGAAAAGAGGAAGCCAGGTGGGCGTGCTCAGGCTCAGAGAAAAGCTGACCCAGGAACCTTGCCTGCGGGCGAGAACCTTGCTTGCAGGTGAAATTACCATGACAGAAGAGTTCTCTCTGAGCTACACCCTTGGGCCGTAGGTGATATTAACATAACAGGAGAGGACAGTACTATGCTACACCCTCAAGCTAATACAGTAAAACCAGAAAGCAGAACAGCCCTGCATAACACCTCGGAAAAAATAGGAAACCTGTACACCTACACACTTGGGCACATGCATGTGCACACACATGCAATAAAAATGTAAATTAAAGTGAGGATAAGAATTGTGTGACTCAGGGACTAGCGACGGTTGAGAACAATGTCACCCCGATGTTCAATAAATATGACAGCCTGTTGTATTTATCGCTGTGATACCTCACAAGGGGAAGGGTGACCAGTCCATACATATAACTGTTCCTTTAACACCTGTGTAAACATCGTGGGGGTACCTTTGCAAGATTTCAGAAGGCTGGAGGTACCCTCGGAGGCTCCATTCTGTGAAGTGCTTGTGTGAGACGATCTGCAGACTCTGAGACTGGAGAGAGCTACATGCTTTCTTCCCCGGTGGCTTGAAAATGGACTTAAAATTCTGAATTAGCTATGACCCAGAATATGAAAGAGTCAGTCTGTTGGCGCCTCCACTCCCCCTGCCTCCTCTGTCAGCGAACCCAGGGTTCCCAGCTCCCAAACTGATCTGGGGACACACACACACACTTGGAAAAAGGAGCCTTGGGCAAGGGCTAGAGCCAGAGGATCTCAGAGCTGGAATGTACTGTATAGAGGCTGGGTTTAAAGAGGCTGGGGTGACTGGGAATTTAAAAAGAGGACAGCCACTTCTACAAGTGACAAATATGGCTTTAAAGCAGAAACTCAATGCAGCCGAGAGACCTGAGGACCGGTGGCCTGGAAGGCAAGTTTGAAGGAGTCTCTCAGAAAAGCAGCCAAGAGACACATAGAGGTTCAGTGAGGTTACTGTTATGTCCACATCCATGAAGTCCCCCAAAAGCCAACAAGGAGACGGAGTCCTGTATGTAAAAGCAAAGAGCCTTTATTTTATGCAAGTTTGCAAACTCGATCTCTCCCATGTCCAACGTATTGGAATATGCAGAAAGCCCCAAGCTCAGTTAGAGTTGGGTTTTTATAGTAGTAAAGGTGGGGGTGAGGGGTTTCTGAGGTTCAGGACCCCCGATTGGCTGACATTTGTCTAGGGATTTCCTGGTGAGTGTGCTGGCAGGCGGTCCTATCTACAGCAGTTGGAACATTAGACATTTCCTTTGGATGGTCTGTTCTTGGGTGGTACTCAGGTAATTTCAGTTTGTGATCCTTCCTGCAATCAGGTATTGCTTCAGGGTAAACTACTGAGACTCAGGCCTCCCTTAAACTTATCATGGCTGAGTCCTCCTCTGGCAGGTGATAACGGTTAGAAGTAAAGAACTTTGGCTGATCTGTTCATATTTAGCTTATCATGGCTGGCCCCTACATTTACGAGATGAGGTTACAGGAAGGTGATCAAAAGGCCCCGTCCACCAGGTTTAGAAAGATACTTGACATGGGTTTGTTTTGAAACTTGTTTTTATTGTTTTAAACTTACTTGTTTTACAGGGCTCACTATGTAGTGCTGGCTAGCCTGAAACTCACACCAGTCCGCTGGCCTCTGCCTCCCAAGTGCTACCACACACACCTGGCTTGACACAGCCTTGGAAGAAGGCTAGAGATTAATTCAGTGGGAACGATCCTATCTAGCATGCACAGATCGTGAATTCAATCCCCAGCACCACATTTAAAAAAAAAAAAAAAAGGAATGTGTCGGGAGTGTGTGGTGGGAGTGGGGTGGGGTGTCACAGACAGTCTGGGAATTTGTCAAAGGCCACCCAACAGCATAAGCCTTGTGACTTGCGTCCAGGCTCCTTCCTCTTGCCTGTCACAGAAAAAACACACATTGCAGAGTACACTGCGGAGCAAAGGCTTGCAGTGTGGAAAATGCTCGAGGTTTGAAGGGAAGCGTGATGGACCAATAGCAAAGAGAGGATGGGGCATGGTTTCCAGCCACTTCTAGGGAAAACCTGCTGCCTGGAGACTACAATGTCAATAAAAAAAAAACAAACAAACAAAAAAAACGTCTGCTCAATGCCATATGCCTTGGAACTGAGATGCAGGTCTTCGGCCAGAACCTCAGTTGCACGTGCAGCTCATTCGGACCCAGGTACATGCAGGCATCTGTAACTTTTGCTTGCGAACGTGCAAGGCACCCTGGGGGCGGGGCGGAGCTAGGTGAGCACGCTCTCGTCTTTGAAATTCTTCCACCTCACACTTAACGTGGTCGTTAGCGGTCCCAGGCGGGGAGCCCCTCCCGGTTCAAACCTGATTGGCCAAAGGAAAGGTCCCAAGGAAGAGTGAGGACAGGAAACTGGTCACAGGCTCCTGTGGTGAGAAAATTGAGGCTCCTTATGTGGGCGTGGGGATGAGAGGGCGGGACTTAAAAACGGGCGTGGCAAGCGAGGCATCCCACTCTTACAAACCAGCCCTTACAGCAGAGCCGCCCCGCTGTGGGGCTGTGCAGCGGCTGGTGGTCTTCCTAAATCCCAGTAGCTTCATTTCTAGAACCGGGAAAAAAATCTTAGGACTGACCGCGGTGCAGAGTAAACAGCAGATTCCTGCTTATAGCTGAGCTGGTGTTTAGCGTGGTTCAGTCACTTCACACGTTTATAAGCCCAGCCGTGTGCCAGGCTATTCTGTATGCTGCATGTGTATAGGGGAGACCATCATTTCTTCAATACACATAGTGACCGACATGCCAGGAGGGGCACATGCAGGTCACAGGGAGTAAGGGGTGGGGAGCATGCTGCCATAGATGATAGAAGCACTTGCTGCGATGTTTGAGGCAGCATTTAAAAAATATGGGAAGGAAGGAATAAGGTAGAGGGGAAGGGATGGAGGGAGAAAAAAAGAAAAGGAAAAAGGCTGGTGATGTGGTTCTGTAGTGTGCTTGCCTAGCATGCAAAAAATCCAGAGTTCGCGCTCCAGCAAGGCATCTAGCAAGACATAGACTATGTATGGAAGCACAAGCCTGTAATCTCAGCACTTGGCACTTGGGATCATCCTTGGCTAAAAACAGAAGAGAGACTGGAGAGATGACTCCGTGGTTAAGAGTACTCATTGCTCTTCCAGAGGACCCAGCTTTGGTTCCCAGCACCCGTGTAATGGCTTGTGTAACTCCAGATCCTGGGGATCTGATATCCTTAGATGGGCATGGTGGTGCACACCTTTAATCCCAGTACTTGGGAGGCAGAGGCAGGTGGACTTTTGTGAGTTTGAGACCATACTGGTCTACATAGAGAGTTGCAGGTCAGCCAGGGTTACATAGACCCTGCCTCAAAAGAAAAAAAATCAAAAGAAGAAGAAGAAGAAGAAGAAGAAGAAGAAGAAGAAGAAGAAGAA